TTACAGCCACATTTTTTCTCAAGGGTTACATTTCTAATCATCAACCCAAGCAGCATCATGTATATTAGCCAGGTGTGTTCTAATATACTGTGTGTGCGGCTGGGAATCGCAGATCCACGCTTTCTTGGGTCAGAGTCACGTAAATTTCGTGAAGAGAGGGCAAACGACACGGTGTGTCTGCAGATGTCCAGATGCCTGCCAATTTTTTACTTTTTTTCGAGCCTTAGAGGCACTGAGACATTACAGTATAGCCTAATGCGCTAATTTCAAATCCTTCAGGGGGACTTGATAGAACTATAATAGGCCCGAGTGCGCATCTGTGCGCGTCCAAGCGCGCATAATCCGGGCCTCACTCACGATTCTGTCACGGTACATTACCCACAATGACAGTGGTACCACCACACAGTGATTCTGCCATGTGATACATTGCAAGACAATTTGTAACTGAAGGAGACTTTAGCATGTCTACCCGTTAAAACAGAGGGTAAAGTCTGGGATGATCTGCTTATCCTCTGGATTGTTGTGTCGGTTTTTGTGTGTTACTGTTTTTGTTATTACGGATAAATAATGTAACAGTGCAATCATTTACCCCTATGGCTTGGTCCCTCCCTTACGAGTTCTCCTTCATCAACTTATTTAACTCCCACACGTTTTAATTCAAGGGTTTATATTTGGAACCAGTGCTGATAACATATTGCAAGAGGAAGCCGGTGTGATACATCGCTGCATCATATTTTGTCCCACGCAGCAGTGAGTAAATAAGAGAGTGGGCATTCCTCTTTGTGCTACTTTCCTGTGTTTAGACACTTTATGAGTCCATCTGGGGACACGTTTATGTTCACGAGTGCGTGCGCACGTGTCCACGGGGCTGATCGGGAGTCATCCCGGGACTGTAAATGGGTGGTGCAGAGTACACCTCGCCCGGGGTGACTCGCAGGCCGTTGCCGTGGCAGTGGAAGGTGACGAGGCAGAGATCTCCCCCATGCTGTCCGCTGCAGCGAGTGATGTGGACTGCGGCCTGTCTGGTTTTACACAATCTACAGCTACAACTACTGTACGAACTTACCACCACCTCACCGCTCACCGCCAATCAGCCAGATGAAAACGTGAAAAACAGACCTTCACGGGCAGACGTATAACCGGTGATGCTCACAAGAGAGTGCGTGTAAATCAAAAAGAAAAGGTGTGTTTGTGGCAGGCATGGCGAATGAACGGCGAAGTCGAGAGACAGAGAGACAGAGAGAGAATCTGGGCGAAAGAGACCGTACAGAGTGACTGTTCCTGCCCCCACTGTTTCATCTTCTCTTACAAGCTGCACTGGCTCCCCTGCTCTGATAAATATTTGATAGGCATTTGCTGCTTCATCTGCATGCTTTACAACTTAGGGTCCATACAACCGCAACACGGTAGCGGCTGCTGTACCAGCCGTGCGCTCTCACCCACGCTTCCTCTGTTCTCCCAGAGGTTCCTTTAGATTTTCTCAAAAGAGAGCAAAGGAGGATAAAAGGCTCAGGAACAAAATAAATAAATAAATAAATAAATAAAAATTGGGGGTGCTTCCTCTGCTGCTTGTTTTTCTTCCTGCACTCAGGAGTCTGTTTCTTTCTGCCACACCCATGCAGCCAGCTGCATTTGAACTCAAACTACTGAGGTTGCAAGGTGCTGGCCGGGGTTTGGCAGAAGCTGTGACCTTTTAAGGGAGAGTTTAAATGTAAGCCTGTGATGAAAGGCTGGAGAGGGCACTGAAGGAAAAGACATGATAGGCGTTACTCACACAGTGTGTGGATTTATCCCATGAATCACAGAGGAGTTTATCGACAAGGAGTGAGTTTTCTGAGATTTGTTCTGAAATGATATCAAGTCATCTGTTCTGATCTGCCTCTGGCATGTTTACATATAATTCTAATCTGTATGCATGAATGATGTACTTTCACTGATGCAGTTAGCTATCACACCAGCATCACCTGCTATTTAAGGCTCCACCTTCAGTCACATCTCTCCATCTGTGCTGATGTATCTGTAGAAGCTGTCGAGAACGTCACAAACTCTATAAATTGGAAACGGTTTGAGACCTCAGCTCATGTGGAGGTATAGTGAAAGCACAGGGTGATGAGGATGAACTTGTGTAGAGAAGAAAACAAACTCCCACTGCTTTCAGTGTTTGGTTTTATGTGAAGCGGGTCGAGCTCTGCTGCCCATCGGAAAGAAAATTCTGCCAAAATCAAGTGGCTCTGTGTAAAAAAAATTGGCCATTAAAATTGAAATTAGGCAAATAGAGGTCCACTCTTAAAATAATACATGTACAGAATCCCCTTCCAGCTCAGTACAATCAGTCACAGTTAAATGCCACCACTCTGGCTGCCAAATCAACTGCGGTTCCCTGATAAAGATGAAAAAGGCTGCCCAAAAGTGCTACTGTATTAATTTCCCATGGTACAAGCTGCCATTTCTCAAGTGATGCTGATGGGGGGGAAAGAAAGAAGCCATTTTCATCTGCAAATATCAGTGCAAAGTTCCAGATGAATGGCCCGATCTTGTAGTGAAACTGTGTCTTACAAAATGTAAAATAATGTCTGTGTTTGTTTTTCCAGTTTTTTTTATCAGACACACAATAATGCAGGTTACAAGAAAGAGTTCATCACTGTTGATGTTGGTAAATGCAGCATGTCTTTCGTTCCTCAAGGCTCATTACGTTGCCTCTCTTCTTGAGCATGTGTGTATGCATCTGAGGTCCTTTGCTCATATCGGTGCAGTGTTGTGTTATTATCACTACTATTATGTATTATTTTTTATGTGTTGTGCAGATTAAATCCAGCACTAAAGTTCCTGTTCAAACCCCCTGACTGTGTCTATCAGTGCAGCAGAAGGTGAAACCTAATTAATTCATATCACACCATCAACACAATAGTGCACAGATTTCAGGCCAGATGTTTCCAGAAGCGTGTGTGAGAAATTGTGTGCATTGTGATGTTGTCAATAAAGCCTGCTATGGGTGAGGTTAAAAGCAACCAAGCTGTGCACAAATATCATTTTTGATGTAACCCCTGCTCTGCTAACGTCATTTAAATATGTCAGAGATACTCTGATCTCACACATCGCTCCAAAGTGATTCAACTGCATCCAGGACTGAGGATGAAGCGTGTATAGGTGCTGCAAAAATCAAGCTGAGAAATGACAGCCTCATTTACTTGTTACCCACAGACGTCTGAAAGCCTCATCCAACTGCACACACACACATACACACACACACCAGCTTGTGTTTTCTCAAAAAGATGCAGCCACATGCTCTCCTAGAGGAATTGTGCTGAGGGACATTGTATGTGCGTGCACTCGGAAAAAGCATTCAGAAGTTGTCTTGTACTATGGAAGCAAAGCGAGTGCGAACAGACAAGTGTGAAAATCAGTTTGTCGGGAGAAAGAAGAGACTCTCCAGCCTTTAGTTTAGCTTACTTGGATCTGTGATCCAGTAAAATTACACACACTCACATGCACATAAACGTGCCTGACAATTTGGTTTACTTTTTGTTTTTTTCCTTGTCATCTTCATTACACAATCTAACTTGTTTACACAACTGTCACACAGATCCTGTTTGGTTGGGCAGTAAAGTTTTGTCTTTGCTGCCATCTGGAGGTGCAGCTTCATCCACGTTTTCTATTGAGAGAGCTGAACTCTCCCGCTTAGATTTCTTCTCCCAGAATTAACTGTTTAGCATTTCAGCCTGTTCGTATGACTGCAAATATCTAATCAGCCAATCACACAAGAGCAGCTCAGTGAATGACACACATGCAGACATGGTCAAGACAACCGGCTGAAGTTCAAATGTATCTCTCTGATCATTGAGTAAAAAAGAATTAGAAAGAAAACGCACATGTATTTTCATGTAAAGTACCAGATATGTAATCATATATGTGTTAGTGTGTGTGTGTAAAGAAAGAGGATGAGGAGCAGGTGAGCAATAAGTAAGACTTAAGGAGCTGGACAGCCCCAGGAACAAAGGTTGCCCTCCTACAGCGTGAGTAGTGAAGACAGCACCCATAAGGGAGCCACTTAAATACAGGCCACAGGGTACATGAGGGGTCTGCCATATAATCTGCTGCTCACACTGACTGGAGAGTCCAGTGGTTTTAGAGCAGGCCTTGACAGTGTTCTACAACTGATGCATGTAATAAAGACTGATGGGAGTGCAACCAACACATAAAGGAGAACCTTCTAATGCTCTCTATGAAGGAGGAGCAGAATATAGCGAGGGTGATTTGTTAAAAATAATTGAGCTTTCCCAGGAGATTCAGCCACTGCTGACTGCTTTGCTGTTGAATTTCAGTTATTTACCAAAGGCTGAGCCCTAATACTCGTACTCATCTACCAGCAGGTTCCCTCGTGAATCTAAATGACCACCTCAGCCAGTTCCCCCTATGTGTTAGAAAAGGTCCAGACCATCTGCCCGGTCTTTTTCACATTCAGCTCCAGGCCTGACTTACTCCACCAATCCAAAAGACAAATTAAAAAATAAAACTGGGCCTAAAGTTACAAGTTTTTATTTTTGGACTGTACCTTTGACTCATGGGGATTACTTCTACATATGCTGAGCTTATTACTTAGCACAAAAATGGGACATTTTGTACACACCTTTTCCTCAGTATCATTCCATTTGCAGCAGACTCTTATAACTAAGTCTCAGTACTTGGCAGCCATTTTATTGAACTTGTCTGTTGCCTGTCTGAATTAGCATTCATTTCAGGGCACATAAACTGAGGTGCCTACATACAATCATTGATCACTGCTTTAAAATGAACTAATAAACAAATAATGTAACAGTTTACCTACTCTGCCCAAAAACAACGCTTTAAAAAAGCTTTCCCCTGAAGGTTATATTGCTACCACAATTTTTTTCTTTTTTCTTTCTTTTTTTTTGCTGTTGTAAATTCCCCCGTAGACTCGCTAACAATGACCCAAATAGCAAAATTTCCGACAGCCCTCAAAGGCAGCGTGAGAATAACCATTGATAACGAGCGCGGACGTGAACGTATCAATTAGCCTTTTGCTTTGGGAGACGTTACATTGATTTCGTCGTGGTGAAAGAGGTAATGTTTAAGATTTCCAGTTTGACACTCTTTATGTCCATGTCCCACTCGTTTGTCGTGATAACTGTCGCGGTCGGTCCCACTAAAAAGCGCTTAAACCGACACCTGCCGTTGGAAGTCGCGAGCTAGCTGATGCTAACCAGGCGGCGTCAACAACTGTTAGCTAGCGTGAGTCAACTGTTATGGGCTTGTTTAGGTTTGCTTAGGGCAGAGATTATCAACACGTAAATACCGAAGACAGTGGCAGAATACAGATGTTTCTAGCTTATTATGGTTAACTAACATTATTTGTTTAATTTCCAGCCGTGTCTCTGTTTGTAACACTGTTTATAGCGTATTAATATTAACGATAAAGTAACTGTATAAAGTTAATTCATTATATATGGACTCCAAAACAACTACCGAGTTGGGGAGTCTGTCGTTGTATAACAACCTCCTCTTTTAGTCACACTTTGAATTATACCGATGGTTGTTCTCTAATAAAAGCTGCGTTGTGAGCGTGTGTGTTGGCTTCAGTGTGTACTTTTCTTTATTTACAGGGACTGATGGATTCCCCTCGGAAGGCTAAGAAGGCTAACGTGAATCGAGAGCCAAAGCACAGCCAGAATCAGTCAAGCAGGCCTCCTCAGAAAGATGCCTATGCCAGGCTTCTTAGTCAGCACCGCAGCAGCAAGTTCAGTTTGTATCTAGAACAATATGCAAAGGATTCGTCCTCTCAGAGAGAAGACAACGGGCCAAGCCCACAGCTCAAAGCCCAAAGTGACAGGGTCAGCATACCAGCACGACAAAGGGACCAAGTGTTTAATGATTTCTCTGACTCAAGTGACTTCTCCCCTTCCTCTGTGAAAAGTAAAGGAGGAGAGAGTTCATTGTCTTTGTACATGGAGAAGCTAAACACTCGCAATGTTCAGCAAGACTGCGAGAGGAGGCAAGGTGTGTTTGATGGGCAGCGGAGGGGGCAGAGAAGAGATACCGCCACAAGCCACGACGGAGACGTTGAGTCTGGGGAGGAGCTGGGTTCTTTAAAACCAAATGATGCAAAGAAACACCAGAAGCAACAGCGAAAAAACAAGGATTCGAACAGAGATGTCGTCTCAAAAGAGGCCGATCAGCCTGGTGGACGTCTTCAGTCTCCTAAGAAGTCAAAGAAAAAAAATCTGCCAAAGCACCCAGAAGATGAGAAGATTAGAGAAGGAACATCAAAGTGTGGAGTTGATGTTCAGATGTTAAGTCCCAAGCCTCCTCATGGTCGTGATAAAAACATAAAGCAGCCCAGAGGTGAGTTGTGGCTTACCATTGTAGGGATTGTACTTTATGATCATTTAAATTAATAGTGGCTTTAATTACAGAACTGTTTGTTTTTCAGCTTCAAATGCCAATTCTCCTGCTGACAAGGGTAAGAACAAAGGAGGCAGAGGATCAAAGAAGCAAGTGTTTGATGCTTACATGACCTCTGAGGAGGTTTCCCATGGTCTTAAAAGAGGAGAACTTATTCAGGTATAAGCATGAGTTGGAAGTTAATTTCTTTCAGTATTGATGATCTTACTCGGTAATAGTCAAGTGATACAGACAGAAGTTTCATCATTTTATTTTCAATTTTATAAATGCATTTTGATCAGGTTCCTAAATCAAACGCTCAGTGCAGAAATGACATTGTTGAAGCAGTGGTTATCTGAAAAAAAATGGTTTGGTTATTTTTTTCTTTGTCTTTAGGGTCAGCTCAGAATAAACCCCAAGAAGTACAATGAAGCTTTCATTCCGTCTCCTGTAAGTTGGCGTGGCCTCCCATCAAACAGAATGAATTTGACACATCATGTTTTGCTGCCTCAGTGACCTTGTTTAATTCAAAATATTTCTTTTTCTGTTCACAGGATGATACACGGGATATATTCTTAGATGGAATTGTTGCTCGCAACCGAGCACTGAATGGAGACATAGTAGTTGTGCAAGTACTGCCTCGGGAGCAGTGGAAGGTAAACGAATAATATTTCTGGTGACGTATATGTGCAGAATTCAAGTTTTTTTTTTCTTATGAAACACTCAGATTTTAGGAGGTACATAAAAACTTTTGTTGATGCTTTTCAGCGAAAGTTTTTTGGTGGCAGACATAATTGAGAGAGAAGCATCTTTGAACAAAATGAAGTCAAGTATTGAATTGTTGTTCTACTGGTGTGGGCGGGGTCTGAATATGTACTGTCTTTATACGTTATATGTTTGCATTAACTCAGTTTTTAAAGGTATCCAATAACAGACTTTGTTTTATACACACTTGTACTAAGTTTTAATATTTTTTTATTTTGCATGTTTTTATTTATGGGTTGGGGGGGTTTTGGGGGGCGGGTTTGTCTGTTTGTTTGAGGGTTTTTTTGTTTGTTTTTTGGAAGGTTGTGAGGTCAGATACTGACTGTGAGGGTGTCAGCGAGTCAGACACACCCACTGTGCAAACAGCTGCAAAGAAGACAAAGAGCACTCCCAGTTCTGCTGTTAGTGTGGAAGAGCAGTGCAGCGACCGGGATGAACAAAACAACAAATATCAGAATATATCAGGTAGTATAAATACACTGGTCACTGCAAATAATTATAATTAATAGCTGCTGTATCACACATTGCACTTATTCTGTTGCAAAGCAATTCAACTGTACACGTCATAAGTTCCACCTTATTTATACCAGGTTCGACTCAATTTGAGCTTCATTACATAGAAGATGGATAAACTGAGGTTATAAAGAGATGGACACGGTCACCAACAATACTCATGTAGGCTGAGGCAATTAAAACATGCTCGGGTTTCACTACAGTCTCCAAAAAAGCGCCGAAAAAATGCTCCCCCTGCCGTTACACCACCACCACCACCAGTAGCCTGAAGTGAGGGAAGGATGGAGCCATGCTTTCATGTTGACATAATTGCTAACATATCAGTAGATTTCCAGCAGCTTGTTGCATTCATGAACCAACCCTTCTCATTTGTCTGTATTTGCATTCATGCATGGAGTGGTTGCACATAACTTCTACAACACACCAACGCTTACCCTACATGACATTAGTAAGATTATTTATTACTTCAAAGGCAGGATCAAATGGAGCGTAGCATTCAAAAAGCAGAAAAACGAGACCTCGACGTGAAACCCAAGTTAGACCATTATTTATTGGTCTAAATTGAGTTTGTGTATAACAACAAAAGTCTGTAAAGTACAACTAATACCTGTTAATATTTCTCTTGATGTGATGGAATTAGGAGAACGTCTGGGAGAACCATCAACACCACGTTCCAATGGGGAGATACTCCAAAAGACAGCTAAAGTGAGTTTCCATCACATCTGTTGCATTGAATTTTTAAACTAACAATTTCTCTTCCTTTTCACAAACAAAACATTTAAAAGGGGAAAAAAATCATCTTAATGCAGTTTTTTTTTTTTTTTTTTTTTTTCCCTCCTGCTTGAGATAAAGCAATTACAGGGCTCTACAGGACTACGTTGTATGAGTTACAAGTTTCCACCAGAATTGTATCATTTGCCTAACTCGTGTAAATCTTTTCTAAAGCTACTCCAATCCTATGCTAAGTTACTGCAGTAACAATATTCTAAATGGGCCATAAGTTCTAGTTTTCCTTTAGCAGTGATTTGTCACTTCTCAAGTAAAGGACCGCTTTCAAAGCGATCGCTTCCCTTGCAATCTTTCTACTAGGTGGTTTACATTGTTGAAAAGAAACACTCAAGAGCTGCCACTGGCTTCCTGAAGCACTTGCCAGACAAGCCCTTTGCCTTGTTCTCCCCTGTGGACCACCGGGTGCCACGGATTAATGTTCCCCTTGCTGATTGCCCTGAAGATTTTAGTTCCCGTCCGGGTGACTACAAGAACACCTTGTTCATCTGTCGGATCACAGACTGGGCAGCGGACAGCAATTTTGCAGAGGGGTAAGTGCTATAGTCGAATAACCCGGGGAACTGTTAACTCTGGTTTGAGAACTCTGCTGACACACTAAATCTTTTCCTACAGTCGACTAGCCAAGTCACTGGGACAGGCTGGAGAAATTGAGCCGGAGACGGAAGGCATCTTGATAGAGTATGAGGTTGATTTTTCTGAGTTCTCAGACGAGGTGTTGGACTGTCTTCCCAAGAATCTGCCCTGGACCATCCCACCTGAAGAGATGAGAAAGAGAAGAGACCTGAGGTAAGACTTTGAAGCCCAAATACATTTGTCTTTTTTCTTTTTTTCTTTCTGTATTTTATGCATCTGCATCTGTTTTTCTGTCAGCCTTTTGCTGATTATTTCATAATTCAATGTTTGTGATGTTTAGGAATGAGTGCATCTTCACAATTGACCCAGCAACTGCCAGAGATCTGGATGATGCCCTGTCCTGTAAACAGCTGCCAGATGGTAAATTGCTAATGCTCAGTGAGAGTGATGATGTCTGACAGGGGTGGATATAGCTCAGAAGGTAGAGCAGGTCATCTACTAATTGGAAGGTTGGTGGCTGCTCCAGTCTGCATGCCAAATATCTTTGGGCAAGATACTAAAACAGTTGCTCTGTGATGCATTCATTGGAGTATGAATGTTAAATAGAAAGCACTTTCATAGGAAAACCATAGAAAAAAGTGCTTGTGTGAATGAGGCAAGTTGTATAAATCGCTTTGAGTCCTCTAAGTAGAAAAGCGCTAAATAAGAAAAAAAACGATGGTCAGTGATTATCATTGGTCATAAGTATCCTATTCTATTCATAACCTGTACATAAAAGATGGATGTAGCTTCTGCCTCTGAAAAGGGAAGCCAATCCAGAAATGCCTTAAACCTGCATTCTTGCTAATGGCCACTAGGCGGCGGTTCCTTTGCTTCCAACCAGATTATTTTTATTTTTTTTTAAATAAATAATTAAAAAAATAACTTTAATAGAAACTATTATTTTAGTAAATATGGTCCCCATTTAAATAAAGAAGGTGGATAAAGCAAGGTTTTATGGTGGGCCAAACTTCTGACTGAAGTTTGTCACTGGTATACAATGGGACTGTGTATTTCTGTGACCTTCCTTCTCACCTCCAACCAGCTATAGCAGATGACTTACACACCCTGAGCCTGGTACTTTAGGAGGTCTTCTCCTGTTAGAAGGGAGTTTTTCCAACTGTCAAGTGCTTGCTCATTGGAAATCTCTTTGATATTGTAAGATCTTTATTTTTACAGTATAGTACAACTTGACATAGGTGTTCTTTTGTGAACAAGCATTGTAATAATACATTGAATTGAAACCGTACAATAACTATGTGCACCTTCTATTATACAGTCTGTTGTCCTAATTTTTCTGTCTGTGGCAGGCAACTTTGAGGTGGGAGTTCACATTGCTGATGTGAGTTATTTTGTGGAGGAAGGAAACTCTTTGGATGTCATTGCCAGCCAGAGAGCAACTAGTGTCTACCTGGTTCAGAAGGTAAGTACTCCCCTGAGGCTTTTTTCCCCGTGTCATTAATTCTCAGTTGTCAGGGGTTCATTTAAACTGTAACTTTTTTAAGTTCTCAGCCCTCAGTGTCTGTCTCGTCACTCTCCAGGTGATCCCCATGTTGCCTCGGTTGCTGTGTGAGGAGTTGTGCAGCTTGAACCCTCTCGTCGACCGACTCACTTTCTCCGTTATTTGGACGCTCACACCCGAGGGAAAGGTATATAAACTGATATAAATGCATCTGATGTTGTGTTGTTTTTTTTTTGTTATGTTTTTTTTCCATTGGCCCATCTGTTTGTTTCCGCCTTACTTGTCAGATTTTGAATGAGTGGTTTGGCCGCTCAATCATCCGCTCTTGTGTGAAGCTGAGTTACGACCATGCTCAGAGCATGATCGAGGCCCCTGAGAAGATGTTCTCTGCTGAGGAGCTGCCACCCGTGGACCCCATGCACCCTATTGATGAGGTCCACCAAGCAGTGCTCAACCTTCACACTATTGCCAAGAACCTCAGAGCGCAACGTTTCTTAGGAGGAGCGCTCAGACTCGATCAGGTTAGTGTTGGTTTGTTCTTTGGATTATGAGAGGAAATACTGTTGTCCTTACTGTTACGCTTAGTGGATGTTTGGAAAATATGTTTGTGTATATACAATGTTTTATTCTGGACCAAAGGAACTGGCTTCAATCTTAAATTACTGCAGTTTCTTGTACTGAAGTGTATTTTATGTTTAATGGTTTCAGCTGAAGCTTTCTTTCACTCTGGACAAAGAGACAATGATGCCTCAAGGTTGTTATATTTACCAATACAGAGACAGTAACAAGTGAGTAAAAAGGACTTTTCTTTTTAATCAGTGCCTGAATAATCTGTCAGTAAATTTAATGACAGATGGGTTTTGTTGGGGTTTTGTTTTTTTGTCTCTGTGCTGTTTTAAAATCTCAGTCCTATCACAGTCTTTTCTCCTCCTTTGACTGTTAATCTCTCATTAATAAAACCTGTTCTCCAGGTTGGTGGAGGAGTTCATGCTGCTTGCTAACATTGCCACAGCCAACCACATTTACCGCAAATTCCCCGAGTTGGCCTTGCTCAGGCGCCACCCTCCACCCAAAGCCAAGATGATGGATGAGCTGCAAGAGTTGTGTGACCAGCTGGGAATCAAAATCGACCTGACTTCTGCCGGATTATTACACGTCAGTACTCATAATGCATTGGTATCCAATTGCATTCAGGGTTTGAAGTTCGGTTGGAGTAAATTGAAAACCTTCTTTCTTCTTGTTTAACATGCAGAAGAGTCTCAATACTGCTTTTGGTGATGACGAGTACACAAGTGCCAGAAAAGAAGTCCTCACCCACATGTGCTCCAGACCAATGCAAGTTAGTACTCATAGTTAGTACTAGTATGATTTAGAGCAGTAAAAAAAAACCCTGTTTGTATTAGTTTTGTAGTGTTTATCTTTAACCTGGTTCATTTGTCTATCCCAGATGGCGTTGTACTTTTGTACAGGAGTCGTGAAGGAGGAGCAGAATTTTAAGCACTACGCCCTCAACGTTCCTCTCTACACACACTTCACATCACCCATCAGGCGCTATGCTGACATCATCGTGCACCGGCTGCTGGCTTCTTCACTAAGTCTGTCTCTTTTCCACAAAAGGCTCTTTCAGACAAATGACAGAATTTCTATTGTGTGACATTTCTGGTTGACAGTGAGGAGAAAGGCACAAAAGAGCCTCAAACATCGCTCTCAGTCAATGTATTGTTTGTTCTTTCCTTTTGGTTTTTTTACTAAATAAGTAAAATGTATTTATAAAGCACATTTAAACACCTTTCATTGATTAAAGTGCTGTAACAAAGCATGTATATCTCTATACACACGAGCATGTAATTGCACTGAGCGAGAAAATCAGTGTCACTTAAATTTGTGTCCATTAATTCTGATACTCATGTCTCCGCTGAATATTTGTATACAGAATGTGGGCCTCGAATCAGCCTGTCAACAGCGGAGGTAGAGAAACAAGCGTCACACTGTAACGACAAGAAGGCTTTGTCCAAGAAAGTCCAGGAGCTCAGCTCAGAGCTCTTCTTTGGAGTCTTTGTGAAGGTGAGTAACCAGATCACAACTCTATTGGTGTTTTTTCCAACTCTAATAAACACAGTATCAAGATTATAGGCGTAAACATCAGTTATGAAAAAAGAAATTCACAAAAGTGTTCAACAGTATACAACGGTCCCTCGCTATAATGGGGTTCACCTTTCGCGGCCTCGCTGTTTTTCAGATTTTTTTTTTTTTTTGGTGTGCAATTTTGCATGCTTGCTATGCTATCAGCTTGTCAAATTTACATAAATCTTCGATCGCTAGCAGTGTGACTCTGAAGTGCTGTACTGTATGTTTGTAAGTTTTCTCCCCGACAAACACAACAATGTAGATAAAATGTTATGCGCCGTCAAAGGCAGAGGAAGATGCTAACCATCGCACAAAAAGTTGAACTTCTGGATATGCTAAAGGAAGGTAGAAATTACTGTATTTTTTTAAGATTATAAGACGCATTAAGTGAAATAAAACAGTCAGATAAGTCAAACTTTACTCAACTCATTCTTCTTGCTTCCTCCACTTCGGTACCATTGATTCATTAATGTTGAATTCTCTCGCAGCTGCTCTATTCCCATGTTCTGGACCTGAAAACAGGGTTTGATCTTTGGTTTCATTCTATAATACTGGACTTATTTTTATACGAAGGTTTGAACTACGAGAGTGTTTTAAAAAAGAAACGTGTGAAAATGTTTATGCCTGTCTAAGAAAAGTGTGTAAAGTGTGTCGTGGGGGGTTTTACAGCCTTAAAACATCTCTAATAACTGTAAAAACTAAAGCTGGCTACTTCGCAGATTTCACCTATCGCAGGTTATTTTTAGAACGCAACTCCCTCGATAAACGAGGGACCACAGCAAAATGAAATGATAAAGGGGCTTGCTTGGCTCAGGAAGTAGAGCTGGGTTGGTGGTTTGGTTCCTTGGACAAGATGCTGAATTCTGAGTTGTTCCCAGTGTGTTTATTGGAAAGTGAAGGTGTGTGAATATTGGCAAGCACTCAGAATAGAAAACAAGTGCTTGTATAAATGAGGCATGATGTATGAAGGCTAGAAACCAGCCCATTCACCATTACTGCTCAAATTCAAAAGGTCAAAGATAAGAACATCACAACACAGGAGCAGATTTAGAGCAGAGTTCATTACATATCTTTATATATCTGTCCTGGTGGAGGCAAGAAGTGTTGTAGATTTTTAACATCTTAACAGGAAAAAAAAGTAGTAAACCATAACCCAAACCAGTGTTTATTTCCAAATGTTTGGGTTTTGTTTTTTGTTTTGTTTTTAATTACCTGTCTTCAGCTAGATTCCTAAAATGTGAAACGAGTTGAGACTTATTTTCTTAAGGCTAGTTTCTTAGGCTAAAGATTCTTTGTATTTGCATCCACCACACATGTTTTTGCAGGAGTCTGGCCCACTGGACTCTGAGGCCATGGTGATGGGGGTGCTGGATCAGTCCTTTGATGTGCTGGTGCTCCGATATGGAGTTCAGAAACGCATCTATTGCAAGGTCAGCTCCAACAATGGGTTTTACAATGTGATTTTGTTTTTTGTTTTTCATCAAAGATACCAATTTATTCCCAAGTCTTAATTTTTTACTTTTTAGTAATTAAGAGATTATTCTTTTGACTGTATATAACTTTCAGTTCTTTGCAGTTCTTACCATGCCTTTGCTCAACACTCATATCTCACTCGGGAGAAAGAAATGAGACTGTCGTATGAGAGACAGAGCAAAACAGAACTGTCACTTTATTACTTTATTAGAAACAGCTGAGAACTGTTTGTTTCCAACTTTAGTCTATCACTGGCTTGGACGCATTCCGCCATCGTAAGGTGGGGAAGAAATCCGAGCTGACACTGCTGTGGACTGCAGAGTCCCCGGAGGATCCGCCTGTAGAGCAGGTGAGAGCCACAAACATGAGCCTGTGACTTTGTGTACTCAGGAGAATAAATGCCAAAGCACTGTTAAGCACCCCACATTTATTTGTTTTTGTAGACTAGTAGAGTAGTGTAACAAATTTTGGTTTGCATGATTACAAAATGTCTTTGAAGCCAGTTGACGGAGTGGAATGAATAAATCAGAATTTCTTGTCTGTTCAGGTCATTTCCGTCTTCACTTTAGTGGAGGTGCAGCTCAAGTCGGATGATGCGCCTCTGAAATACAGCGCAGTGCTCAAGAGACCCGAAGACAGCGCATCATAAACGTACAAACACTTGAATGGAAGTCAGGAACATTTTCTTCTGTTGGTTGCTAGGAATAACATTTTATAGAGTGTAACGTGGAAGCAATAATTCAGTCAGATCTGAGTCCGATTTTAATTTCAATCTTCTCCAGTTGTGTTTTTTTTTTTTTTGTTTTGTTTTTTGTTTTGTTTTTTTTCCCCCATACTTTTGCAAACTTAATGCAAATACCTTGAATGTATGCATGTGGTCTATGTTATAGGATGTAATATTTTTAACCTGTTGTCATACGGGACTTTGCTTACAGCTGTCCTGTGGCTCCGTTCCTTTGTGGAATCAATGGAAGAAGTTCAAAATCTATGGTAGACATACTACGTGGCTTTAAATCTGAATTAATTCAATATTATTTTTTGCAATTTAAGATTCCAAATTGAGCTCTGACTCAGGTCTGACGCTGAAAGAATCAAGGCAGCAGTGAGTTCTATTTTGCTGTTGATGGTTTGGTGTGACTATAACTGCTATACACATTCTAATATGAGAAATCTGATTTTTAACCATTTTTATTTGAATGTTGATGAGCGGCTTCCTGATGTTTGAGAAGAAACGATGGTTTGTGTTTTGCTAGGCATTAGATTTACCACACCAGTGACTTGTGACCTGCTCTGGTTGTTTTAACTTGTTGCTACAGTGAAGCTTCACAGGTCAAATGCAGCTGTGATAGCAAGGTGTGACACCTTGATTAATTCATATTATCAGAACATGTACACTAATATTCACATGTAACAACAAAAAAAAGAAAAGCTGAGAAGTTTTCTTTGGATTCTTCTGATATTGTGTAATGTCTCAGTCATTAAGTAAAGCTCACAGGACTTTTCTTTGCTCTACTTTGTGAAATAGGAGCAAACGTATTGCTCCAATCCAAAGAAAGTTCTTGTTGTTTTTGGACTGGAGCGATATGATTAGACTAAGCTTTTCTTTAGTCAGGCCAAAGCTTACCAACTCTTTGTTTTTACTGCAAAACACAGGGATGACCCACGTGTGAATTGCTGCTAAAGATGTTGACTGCCTCGAGGTCTTAATGAATTATATGTTTGCTCATGTGTGGTTGTGTTTTTATGCTGACATTTGATTTGGTCAGCACAAATGATTAATGTACCTCATTGATATTTAAGAATGTCAGCCTTCCTTTTATCCGCTCTGAACTCTGGAGCAACTGCACATTTTTAAATGGAGTGTGGCCCCACTTTTTCTTTGACTCAGTCCTTGTGCCTCAATTTAGTTCTCACACCTGATTTTGATTGAACTGTGTGATTAGCTGCTGTATCTGCACACTTTCTCGTCTGTCAAATCCATTTTTTTTTTTTTTTTTTTTTGACAGATCTAACAGCTGTCTTTTTAAATAGAAGTGTTTAGTTTTACATGTACAGACAGTACTTTAATTTTAAATCCATGGGTACAAAGCCAGTACAAGCCACTGTGTTGAAGAAGTAAGATGTCTGACAAAGTTTCTTGTCACATTTAAATGAGGCAAACATTAAAATCCAGTTTATTTGGGTCTCTGGTTATATTGTCACATGTAACGTCTGGTCAGTATTCACTGTGCAGTGATGATATGCTCTGTACTTCCTCCAGTGCAATATATTTGATTGTGTTTAGGAAAATACAGACATGAAATCTAAACTGTGTTTTGTTGTCTGTAAATTACTTTTATCATGCCTGCTTTTTTTTTTTAATTTAAATTAATGGTTGTAACTAAGGAAAGGAACTTCTAGTCAGACATTAATCAGCTGCTATTTTAGGGTCCATTAATATATCACCATTAGCACACAGGCACTGCCTGCTTCTGTTTAGTTTATACAGCAAACGACACAGAAATTTTTTTTTTTTTTTTTTTTTTTTTCATTGCCAAGGAGTGTCTTAATTTGTGATAAACGTACTGCAACAGCTCAAAGATAAGATTTTGTCCACTGTAGTTCACCACCATGCAACAATTGATTACCCTGCCTTCATAAACTACTGATAGTGTATAGCCCACACCCTTTCCTTGGGTTGAATATGGCCTTTATGAAACTGAGGGGGGTTGTGGGCTTTTTTGTTTGTTTGTTTTAACGTTTAAATGTGTTCCATGAGGTAAAATAGACAACATGCTCGTGGTAAGTGTAACATTTGTTCAAATTTGCATATTTCCCTGAAACACTGGAAAGAAAATGAAAGCTTGACTATCGGAGTGAGTTTCCGAGAGAAAAATCCTGTATTAGTGATGATAATTAGAGTAATAATAAATAAAAAATATAAAAACACTAAATGTGACAAAGGGTGACAGCGGGACAGTGCGGGATCTGTGAATAACTTGAAGGGGATCTAGGCAGGTATGGCAGGATGACATCTATATGATTTACTTTTATTTTACTCAGAAGAAACTTGGCTTGAAGGAAGGGGGCGGAGACCAAACATGAGAGAGAGAGAATGACCTGAGAGGGCCCAATAAAAAGTCAAGGATTATTTTGAATTCTAGATCATGCAAAGCCGCTTTAGTGGAATCCGCTTCTATGTAAATATAGTCTGAAATCTTTATGATCGTTCCACGTTAACCTTTGTGTCCTGTTTGGATCACATTTGAGTTGTTTTGACACACAAGGTTTCCTCACTACTGCTTGGAAAGTGCTAGTAGTTTGTAGACTAGCTGGTAATGTTGATAATAAATGTGGGCTTTCTATCATTTAACAATGAAGACAGCGGCTAATGAGAGGGTTATACATGGGTGTCTATTAAATCCCAACACTTTTTCCTTTTAATAGAATTTATTTTAAATCCTTTCTTGTATGTTTTTATGTTTTAAACGGGGCATGAAATTGTGTGAAAATGGATGTTATTCACAGAAAAATGAGTGTTATAAATCCTAGAAAATCCACCCTGTATTCTCTCTGAAACTTAAATTAATCATCCATTCATTTATGTCAGACTATTTATACATTCTAAGAAATCTGTAGGTCAGATTTACGGGTCAGCACTGAGGGAGTGTCTGTGAAGGAGTTCTTGGCCAATACTGTGAAAGCATGAAGTATGAACAGTATGTAAAGGTTAAACACCTTCCTAACTCGTCACCACGAGGACAGAAAGAAAAACAAATATCAGGCTTAAATAGGTCTGAAAAATCTATTTCTCTTGATATTGTTGCTGGGCTCTTTTTCACACATGCACACTGCCATCTTTGACCTACAGCACCTCTACCTTTTGCCCCATAGCCTCAGGACCATAATGTCATTGCAGTAAATGCAAATAGTCTGCAAACAAAGTCAAAGTCACCACAAACCAGTGCAAATACCGAACCACAGCAGCAATAAAAACCTAGACTCAAGGCATTTTATAGTTAAAAACCCCACCTTTATTTTATATGTATGAGGAACAGATTTTCATTTAAAATGAAACCTTCCTGATATGGTCGTCTCAGTGCGTCAGTTCCATCGTGTCATTAGGAAAATAGTCAAAGATCAGGCTGATGACTAGAGACCAGAAGTTCACCTTTCTTTCTGACGTCATAAGCAGCCAGGTTTGAAGACAATTAAACCACACCCCATTAAATTACATAAGCATTGCTGCACTGCCCATCTGTGGGAGGTTACCCAGAGCCATGCAGCACTGTCGTGATGAAGCTTTTACAAGGCTTTCCATTCTTAACTGTGACTGGTTAGCAGGGAATTCCTTATCAGAGCTGAGCGGGCTGACGCCTGTGAGCAATCAGCCAAGTATACTGTCATGACTTTAAACCCATGAAACTTTAATAGCGATTTCCTGATGATTTAAGGAACAACTTCTGACTGTCAGGAAAGATTAGCCTCTTGAAGACCCAGCACAGCCACAATGGTGGACTCCCCACACCCTGTTGCGTACAATAGGGCTTAATTGATAACAAGAATGCTGATAATAACACTGTTGTGGCAGAAATCTGATCCCTCTCTAGTCTAATCTCATATTTACATCTTTATTGCAGCAGCAGGGAGATGCTCAGCTGTGTCTCCTACAATTTACACAGGCAGGGTCCAAAGTCTCAATAAACATCCATCCAATATGATCCTGGTAAATCCACCACCAAGGACATTTATGTAAAATCTCCTTTAATAAATGTATTATCTTCTTATTTAACTTCTTATTTAAACAACATGACCTGCATGACCACGCTGATGATTTGTTGATTTCAGCAGGTTGTGCATTTTAAGATTTGGTCCTGTACAGTAGTAGTAGTGGATGTAACCTGATATAAGCTTCAGTAGGAATACTGCAAGTTCAAGGTGAAAAACATTTGGATGGGCTCCCCTAAATTGCCCAGAAAGACACACATCACTCCACTGTGACAAGTTCCTTATTCACTTCTGAGTAAGCGATCCATTTCTCTTCCTCCTCTTACAGTCAGTCCAAAGTCAAAGCGTCATAAAACCTCTGTCACTCATAGGCACGCTGAGTTTTATCCTTCCTCATACGGAGACGGATTCTATAAGACGCAAAGACGAGGAACGAGACGGGAATTAATGAAGATCCCACACCAAAGGATCATCGGGTAGACCGTTTTCATTTTAACGGTGACATTAACAGTGCTCTGTGATTTGTTTTACCGCTGCACACCTTGAGCGCTGACATTGAACACAACAGTTCAGATTAAAAAAGCCAAAAGAAACCCTTTAAATCGTCAGTACTTTGGTAATTGCAACTCATTGTATGGATTTCTTTTTCTTTTTCTCTCCAGGGACTAGAAATAAAAGAAACTTGTGATGTTGAGAAAGGTAAGGCTGAAACAAACTCGAGATAATAACTTTGGAGATGTGAGTTTTATTGAGAGAACTGCCGCCCCACCGAGTGTCACTTTGTGTTCCCGTAAACTGAAACCTAGTCCCGTGTCCCTGAAGGACAACGTGAAATCTTTCTGTCTTTTGCTTTCAGGGGGAATGGGTTTGGGTGGACTCGAGCATAGGGGTGCCCATCGGAGCAAGGGTCAAAGTAACACCGTCGGGTCAGCGGTTGGTGGTGGACGATGAGGGAAAGGTAAACAGTGCTTTTGCACTCTCACAGGGTAAAAGTCAAACATCCCAAAACGGCAACAGTTGGTGTTATGTTGCTGAGTGTATTCCCGTTTTCACCCTTCCTCAGGAGCGCAGGTTGTCACCGGAGCAGGAAGCCTCCCTCAAGATCATGCACCCTACATCGGTGGAGGGGGTGGACGACATGATCAAACTCGGGGACATGACGGAGGCCGGTCTCCTCAGGAACCTCCTGCTCAGACACAGACAAGGCATCATCTATGTGAGCAACACACTGAAGGAAAAAATGATTTTTGTCGCCAGTGTTCCTACATGCTTTGGACGCTTGTACTTTAAGTCAAGTATCTTTATCTTTACTGTCATTGTATAAACATGACACAGCAAAGCGTCTCCCAGAGCCAAATATAGAAAAAATATATTACAAGACAGAGAAGACAGTTGCTGAGGATAAAAAGCAGATTAAAAGTAAAATGGATTTGGTTCATTCAACTCAATTTTCAAAATATCTACACATCATGAGGCCAGCGCGCTGTGAATGACCTGATATAGACACTTAACGCTTTTGCCCAAAGACAGCAGGGATCTGCAAACCTGATTTGGATAAGTGGTTAAGAACAATTGGATGGCCTGATAATGGATTATAGGAAATATTCCTTTAATTTGTAACGGTTCGTTTCTCCCAGAACACCTTAAAACATCTTCCCTTGATGTTTGATTCCAGCCTCACATGAGCTGTTCAGCTTTCTCTCGCTGGGATTTCTTTCTTTTAATCAACTTTGATTCAATTGTGGCAAATCAGAACAATAGAACATTTTAAATCTCCAGGCAGACTCCAAATTTGCACAAACTTCACTGTCGAACATTTAATTTTCACTATCTTTTACTAGCGACAGTACATTTTTTATTCAAGAGTTAAAAAAAAAAACATTTACTGAGTCGCAAATAAAAACACAGACGCTGTAACATTTCTCATTTTACAGGTCCGGTGGACAAACTTTCTAAATGTTCATACTCTTACCTTTTTATTTAGTGTCTGACATAATGAGATGGATATGAATAGACATAAGTAGCAGATATAAGTAAGCATTCTAATAACTTTAATAACTGCTCTGTTTTTAGCCGTGATTGAAAATAGCATTGGATCATTTGACAAGAGCAACATTAAGTATCTTGTCACTCCACACACAGGATGTACCCTTAACATCATTTTGGTTAAATTTTCAATTCAGTTCAATTCAGTTTATTTATATTGCACCAAATCACAACAACAGCCTCAAGACACTTTATTTTGTAAGGTAAAGACCCTACAATAATACACAGAAAACAGAGAAAGCCCCCAACAATCAGATGACCCCCATAAGCAAACACTTTGAAAGTGGGAAGGAAAAACTCTCAGATTCAGGGAGATGTTGTGGAATAGAGCCAGAGATTAATAATAACTATTGACTGTGTATAAACACGTAGTAAGTGGAGAAAGTTGAAGGAGAATCTTTTCTAATGCAACATTTCTATGATTGTGTAGACCTACACGGGCTCGGTGCTGGTGGCCGTGAATCCATACAAAGATTTTCCAATATACACAGAAGAGCAGGTAAGGATATGCGCAGCTGATGACTTCACTGTAATATCGCAGTGATCTACTTCACACGCGTACCCTCCTTTTTGTCTCCAGGTGAGGTTATACCATAAGCGAAAACTGGGAGAGCTCCCGCCCCACATCTTTTCCATCGCTGAGGCCTGTTACTTTAACATGACTCGCCATCAAAAAAACCAGTGCTGCATCATCAGGTCAGCGTCTGTTATATCACTGAGGATCTTTAATATCTGAATTTGATTCTTTACAACTGCTCATTGATTTGATCCATCTCTGTAAGTGGGGAGTCTGGAGCAGGGAAGACCGAGAGCACTAAACTGATCCTGCAGTACCTGGCAGCCGTCAGCGGTGAGCTCTCTGAGCAGCGGATTGAGAAGCAGATCCTGGAGTCCAACCCGATTCTAGAAGGTAGAAAACACCAGCCAAAGAGTGCACAGTCATTATTAAATGTTGTCTTTATGGCATGGATGAACAACAACAACTTTTTTTTTCTTTTTGCATTTCAGCTTTTGGAAACGCTAAAACAATCCGCAATGACAACTCCAGCCGCTTTGGGAAATATTTGGAAATCTTCTTCAACAAGGATGGAGTGATTGAGGGTGCACGCGTGGAGCAGTATCTTCTGGAAAAGTCTCGTGTCTGTCGTCAGGTGAGTAAGCTCTGTTAAGACAACCTTTGTTATCTCTCCACGGGGCGGGAATGTGCAGTAAACCAGTAAAAACACAACACGCTACGTCTGAAGAGTTTGTTTCAGTCGATGTGCTGTTGTTGGCTTAATCTCGTGTGCTGCTGTTGCCATTGTCACTATCAGTACCATCAACAAGAGGAGTGAAGCTAAAGTAAACATGTTCCCACCCAGCCCGCATAAAAACTTGCGTGAGCTTATCATTTTGTAACACTAATGATTAATTTTTTCCTCTGCAACCTCAGGCTCTGGAGGAGCGAAATTACCACATATTTTATTGCCTGCTGGCAGGAATCTCAGCAGAGGAGAAAAAACGCCTGAGCCTCGGGAATGCCAAGGAATACAAATTCCTTACCAAGGTATTGCAATAAGGAAGGCTGTGACTGCCCGCATTGCTGGTGAAGTTATTGTGATGTCGTGTAATTTATGGAAAAAATTCTGCTAGTTCATTGCCCAGACTGTCCTGTAGTTTTAAAGGTTTTATTAATTCACAGCAAGTTTTCTTTTTCTTTTTTGTAAAAAACAAAACAAAACAGACATTTCTACACTAGATAGTAGAAAAATAAGAAATTGTATGTCATGTAATCTATTAGTCATTTACTTTAGTGTGTAGTATAAATTGCAGTATTGTTAATTATTAATTGGCAAAGCTGTAAAACTTATGAAAATACAATGAAAAGTTTTAAATCTACGCACCCCTTCACATTTTCCAAAGCTGTCCTGTGGGCCAGATTGGAGTCTTTGCAAGGCCTGTTCTGGCCCCGAGGCCTTATGTTTGACACCCCTGCTTTCTCCTAGCTATTCTAAATCTTGTCTCTCACTCTTCAGGGCAACTGCATTGCTTGTGGAGGACGAGACGATGCCAAAGACTACAGTCGTATTAATTCCGCCCTAAAAACGCTGAATTTCTCAGGAAAAGACTGTCATGAAATCTTCAAGCTCCTGGCGGCCGTACTACACCTGGGAAACGTCTGCTTTGAGGGTGAGGATACAGAGTTAGAAACTATGTAAAGATTTTAGCCTGCACATAATGGAGCTTAGTTTATCTTTAAAATCATTTCCCTATCAGATTTCAGCAGAACAGCTATTCAAGTGTTGCCTAACGTTTAATCAAACATATCTCCATTCCTAATTTTATCAATGCTAGATTTTGATCAGCAAACAAGCATATAATAAATAAGAGCATCAGTAGGCCTGATGATACCTATGGCAGATTGCAGTCTGTTCAGATCTATTATTAAATGAGTGAACGGATTTATTGTTCCATAAACAGGCAGCTAGTTATACAACAGTGAAACTGAATAGCAGTGAGCACCTGAATTACATAAGACTAAATCATTTCTACACTTTGAATTTGTCAATGAAATTATTATTTTTTTTTTAAATGGAGAAGTTGATTTATTGGTTTATTGGTTTGGCTCATGTCACCGTTTCCCAAACAAAGTTGAGAGATAGTGTCATGATTTTTTACATATAACTTTGGCAGCACGGTGGTTAGCACTGTTGCCGCACAGCAAGAAGGTCCTAAGTTCTATTCCACCATCAGGCCGGGGTCTTTCTGTGTGGAGTTTGCATGTGTTTGCGTTGATTCTCCCCGGGTACTCCGGCTTCCTCCCACCGTCCAAAGACATGCAGCTTGTGGGGATAGGTTAATTGGATAATCCAAATTACCACTAGGTGTGAATGTGAGTGCAAATGGTTGTCTGTCCCTGTGTGTTAGCCCTGCGACAGACTGGCGACCTGTCCGGGGTGTACCCCGCCTCTTGGCCTATGACAGCTGGGATAGGCTCCAGCGACCCTGAAAAGGATAAGCGGAAGCGAATGGATGGTTAGAACTTTGGAACAGCTGTTTTGGAATGAATGAAAGTTTCTTTGTTTCACTGACACCAGAGAACCAAAAGAATATTAATTTCACCATCAGCTTTTGGTCCCTAGATGCATCTGTTGGATTTGTGCATTAGCATTATTTTATGTTCCAAGCTAGATACATTTGTGACTTGTACTTGTGTAGTTGGAAGTGGTTTGGTTAAATCTCCTGACTGGTTGTAATATCTTTTAAAACTCACACTGACCTCATTTCACAGGATTACTCCTTACAGCTGTTATTGTGCTGTTTGTGTCTTATGTGTGAATTTGTGTTTCCATCAGCCAACACTCAAAATAACCTGGAAACCAGTGAAGTCAGCAAATCAGAACATTTCAATGTGGCGGCATCACTACTGGAGGTGGGTCTCCTTCTCTATTAGCAGGTAAGATCTACTTTGCTATTAAATAGCACTAGTAAAGGTTTTTTTTTCTGTTTCTTGTGCTTAAAGGTGGAGAAGCCCACCCTGGCGACCAATCTGACTCATCGATCCTTTAAGACCAACCGCGAAATGGTGACTAAACCTCTGAGCTGTGAACAGGCAGCTGACTGCAGAGACGCCTTTGTGAAGGTAATGAGGGAGAGCCAGCAATTTTAAATCACTGCTTCCTTATTGGTTCCTGGCTTAGGATGAAAGAAACCTGGGCCCTGTAAATGCTGCACGCTGTACTTTATGAGGAAGCGTTCCAGTTTCACTGTGATAGAGCAGATGGTTTCCAACCTTTGACTGGTGCTTACAGCGTTGCTACAGTTACTCGGCATGTTTTAGAAAACTCTCGTCTTACTTTTCCTTGATGAGCTTCAGTGTAGATTGACTGATTTCTTATGATTGTAAGGTACAAGACGTGTAAAAATCCACACGCATCGTCACCAACATGTGGGTCAGGTGCAGAGCTCAAAAGAAACAATTAAATATAGAAAAGAATAAACAGTTTGCGTGTTTCAGAACTCCACTAAAATGTAACTCTGCTGGGTTTCTGTTCTCTCAGGCGATCTACAATAAGCTGTTCATATGGATTGTTAAGAAAATCAACAGTGTCATCTACAAGAAGCTGACCAGCAACTCCAAATCAGCCTACCTGTCCGTCGGCCTGCTTGACATCTTTGGCTTCGAGAACTTCAACACTAACAGGTCAGGAGGGTTTTTTTCTGTTATTCCTGTTTTGTACTTCATCAGATATTTTTTTCATTTTGACTTTTCATCTTGAATTAAGTTTAGTTTATGTTAGTTTAGTTTTTATTGTTGTTATAAATTTTTATTAGTTTCAGTGTTGGTTTTACTCTTTATAGCTATTATTGTAGTTAGGGCGTATGCCAAAAGCAAGGTTTTACAAAATCAGTACTGACATTGCAATTTAAGAAACAAAAAAAAATTGATAGCAGGTGACTCACAGGCTCATAAACTTCCAAAGTCTCAATAAACATTTTTGTCAAAGCCTTAATAGACAAGTTATGATAACAAGAATATATTTTTTATTTTCACAAAATCATTTCAGTTTGATTTTTTCTAAACTCTAGTTTATCTTTTTAATTTAGTTAACTAAAAAGTCTAGCACTCTTTTTCACTTTAGCATTGTTCAGCTACAATAACCTTAGCCTGAACTGTTGATGCAAAGCAGCATAGATTAGATATTTAAGGAAACAAGCAGCTGAACCTAATAAAGTACATAATAAAGTGGCCTGTGAGTGTACATTACCAGTATCTTCATTTTTATCCATTCGATTAGTTGAGTCAAACGTATTTCTCAGATATCTTTAAGCTTTCACAGCCGTTGCACTGCCGCCCTGACATATTTATGAAACATTAGACGATCAGACATTTCGTGGTATACTAAGGCATCTAATTTTCACAGTTATCACTATTTACAAGCCATCGTTTATTTTACAGTTTTGAGCAGCTTTGCATTAACTTTGCCAACGAGAAGCTGCAGCAGTTCTTCGTGGCCCACATCTTCAAGCTCGAGCAGAAGGAGTACATGAAGCAGGGCGTCATGTGGGATAGCATCAACTTTAGCGACAATCAGAAGATTCTCGACCTTCTAGCTGGAATGCAATGTAATGTGCTGGCTCTTGTTGATGAAGAGAGCCACTTTCCAAAGGTATGCTTCTGCTGAGGTTTCTTATTTAAGGTTCTGCCCTGCTGCAGAAGCTTTTTTATTCAAAAGAATCACTTGGTTGGCCTTAGGGTACAGACGCTACGATGCTAGAGAAGTTGAACCAGCACCACAAAGGACACAAGAACTACATCGCCTCCAGGAGTGAACGTGACACAAACTTTGGGATTTGTCACTTCGCTGGCCTGGTTCAGTACGACTCCAATGGTAGGCAAGCAAACAGCAAATATTAAAACCTCAGCCAACGCAAGGTGCTCATGAGCGCAGTAATACTTTGTTGTTGCCTTTTTTCTCCTTCCTCAGGTTTCTTGGAAAAGAACAGGGATGCTGTCAGTTCGGACATCATTAAGATGCTTGACATGTCTGCCAATAAGCTACTACGTGACATATTTGAGTCTGAACTGTCAACCAATGGGATTAAGGCTGTTAAAAATAAAAAGTTCATCATGACCCCAAGCAACTCTCTGCGGGTATGAAAGGATAAAGTCATGTCTGATCCTTGGGCAAACTGCAATAAATGTTCCTGTGTCATTTAGTTTCATAACGCTGCCAATGTTTATTTGATCAGGTGTATCAAGGACTTCATTTTTGAGTTTTTCCTTCTGTCACATGTCATCCTCACAGGGATTGGCTGACACTCGCAAACAAGTGCCGACACTGAGCGGCCAATTCCGGCAGTCTCTGGACTCCCTAATGAAGGCTCTGTCTGCCTGCCAGCCTTTCTTCATCCGCTGTTTCAAACCCAACAATGGCAAGCAATCTGAGGTGAATGAGCAACTGCTTCTGCCGCCATGGCAACACCATACAGTTGCTGTGTAAACTGAGCAATCATGTATGCTAAGAAAGGGAAATGAGGGGGAAGCTTGTGACAAACTAGTGTATTTCAGCAAACTAATGTTTGCTGAAATTAAGACATTTCCTTTAAATCCTGTCATTTCCCGAAATAATAAGGATGTTGCTGTGTTTTTTGTTTTGTTTTGTTTTTTTATGTTTACTGCCACCATTTGCAATAGAGCTCATTCTGTTTTGTGCCATAAACCAACGGAGCCAATTTCCTGTTAAATATCACCTGATATCACAGAGAGTAAAGTACAATGCTGCGCTAGTATCTGTTGAGCTTTTCTCACCCTTTGGATTTAGACTAGAAGTCACGAAAAGTTCACACATTCTGAACTCCCTGACCAATATTGTGGCAAAGCGTTGTTAGTCCACAGTGCCACGTGTCACAGTTCTCCTGTGAAATCCAAGCACCTGCTGGCAGGACTGGCACTTACTTGGTGATCGTGGTCCACACAGGACCACTTCAAATTCAAATGGGTCATTAAGTCTCAAATCAGCAAATGCTTTGTACATTTTCTGCTTGACCTTCCCTAATTTACCTAAAATTCTAATGAGCCAAAGTTTGAGCATATGTAAGGATTGCTATGAAAAAAGCACTGAATTTTCCAGGGTTTTATCTTCAATAGATTTTTAGATATTCATGTTCAAAAATTACCACATATTTCAAAGTGTGAAAAAAATATCCGGTGGGTCGACGGGCCATTTTTCAAAAAAATAGATCTTGAAAAGTATTTGAGCAAAAAATTTCACAGCAATCATCATATATGTTCAAACTCGGGACCATAAAAAATGTTAAAATAAAATTTGAAAACATTTTTGAGATGGAATACCTCAGAGGTATTTTACTTTTCTTCCAGCCTCTCTGAGGTTAATAGCTGTTGTAAAAAATAAAACAGTGAGAATAAACATTGGGTAGATTTGAAATTTGATAGAATCAAAATCTGGCACACGGATATATTCACATGTGCCAAATTCGGCTTGGATGATCATTTGATTGGGTACACACTCAAATCAAGCTTAGAGTAATGAACTGCTGACATTTACTGTAGATGTGGAAATCACCCCATAGTCCAGCCTGAAAAATAAAAAGGTTGGATAGTTGTTGTGTTAAGAGAATATTCATCACCACTTTAATTTGTTCTCTTCTAGGTGTTTGACAGAGAGCTGTGTATGCGTCAGCTGAGATACTCCGGCATGATCGACACCATCCGTATTCGGAAGCTGGGATTTCCCATTCGACACACGTTCGACGACTTCTTAAAGCGCTACAGGGTGCTCCTGAAGACGACCGTCTGCAACCCCAATACCGTTAAGTCATGATGCATCCTGTTTTTGGAACCCAAGATGTGAAAATGAGTCTTTTATTGGGTTCTCTCATCAGTTCTTAACTGATATATTCTTTACTGTCTCTCCAGGAGTCTGCTTTGGCCTGTTGTAAAGCCATCTGTGAGGCGGTGATCGAAAGGGAGGGCGAATGGAAAATAGGCAATACCAAAGTTTTCCTAAAGGTGCCGAAAACTTCTAACCATGTTGTATTGTAGCTTTTTCTCAAGGCACAAGATGGTAAATGGCCTGTATTTGTATAGCACTTTACTAGTCCCTAAGGACCCCAAAGTGCTTTACACATTCACACACTGGTGATGGCAAGCTACATTGTAACCACAGCTACAATGTAGCCTGGGGCGCACTGACAGAGGCGAGGCTGCCGGACACTGGCGCCACCGGGTCCTCTGACCACCACCAGTAGGCAATGGGTGAAGTGTCTTACCCAAGGACACAACGACCAAGACTGTCCGAGTCGGGACTCGAACCGGCAACCTTCCGATTACAAGACGAACTGCAAACTCTTGAGCCACGATTGCCCCTTAGATGATTGTGGCCATGACATAGTGAAACACTAAATCAAAGAGACATTACATCTCTCTTGAATGATTGCAGAAAATGAATCTACATTAATGTGGATTCACATTAATGTAGATTCATTTTTGAAATATGATTAACAATTGAAGTTTTCTTCAATATCAGAAAGTCTTTTAAAAGAAATTCTCTTTATTTCAGGATGTTCACGATTCTATTCTTGAAAAGCGGCGGGAACAAGAGCTCAGCAGGGTAGCTTTGGTGATCCAGAGAGTCATGCTTGGACAGAGAGACAGGTGCAGGATATCCTACACATTCATATCCAGTGCAGAGGGGACACATAAGAGGAAAGGACTGCACATATGAAGGCTTAAAAATACACCTTTTTAATAACTTAAGTTCTTTGCTTCAAATCTCTTTTAGAAAGTCTTTTCTGAGGAAGCGTTCGGCAGCCGTGGTGCTACAGCGGTCCTGGAGAGCCTACATGAAAACAAAGGTTCAATAACTTTTTATAGAAGTCAGAGCTTGTAGCTGCCTTGATGTTTAGGGAGGACTCACCTCAGGTTTGCTTCCCTCTTTCGGTCTGACCAGGTTCAGCGCGGCTTTGAGCGGCTGGCAGCACTAATCCGTAGCCGGAAACTCCAGGCAAAGTACCAAAAGCAGCGAGAAGCAGCAGTCGTCATACAAGCACAGGCATGTACTCTCATGTAGGAACTGTTTAGTGCAATATGTTACAAGTAGTTGTTTTTTATTGTTTGGAATATTGGAAAATATCGCTGTATTTGATCAAATTTTAAGCATTTTATAGTGAAATTAGGATATTTTATCAAATCTTATCAAAATCTACGTTACATATCGGTTGTTGTGTATTTAATTAATTACTGATATTTTTGTTATTTCTTAAATAATTTGCTTTAAATTGCACTGATTGATCGGGTTTAGGTACGAGGCTATGTGGCGAGGAAGGACTTGAAGAAAAAGAGAGAGGCAGTCACACGGCTGCAGGCGCAAAGGCGAGGAGTGCTGGCCAGAAGGGAAGTTGAGTCCATGATGAACACGGTGAGTGCTCAGCATCTTGGAAGGTAAAGTTGCACAAGTTGCACTCTGAAAAGGAGCCTACTTTCAAACCTTTTTGTCTCTTTTGTCTCGAAGGCTTTAGTTTTAAAACAGCTGGAGGAGGTCTCACAGATACTGGACAATGAAACCAAGTCAGAGTCAGAGCACGATTCAGACGACGAAGATCTTCCCGTCACGCCTTCAGTCAATGTAGCAGACGAAGAAACTTCAGAATCTGAGGTTAGCTGATTCTAATTCTGTCATGTTAACATGTCCTACTTTTTCTTCATTGAGTGTGTGCGTTTAAGATCTGGTATAAATTCTCTTTTCCCTCCAAAGACGAGTCACAGCAGTCCAGAGCCTGTAAAGATAATCTCTGAGCTCTTGGAGCCAGAGTTGATAGTCACCCCACCATCAAACTCGATATCCCCGACCCCTTCGGTGGATGAAGATAAGGAGGAGGAGACCGATGACTTTGAGGACGACGGTGATGAGTTTTCATTCTACAGGTTCAGCCAGCGTTACTTCCAGGACAGCGCCAGCCACACGCACATACCCTACCGACTCAAGAAGTCTCTTCTGCATCACGACGATGAGGGTGACACACTGGTGAGAAGTCAGACGGGAACGAGTCACAGCCGTATCACTATTAACCCAAGAGATTTCTCTCCTCACAAACAGTTTCTCATTCCTCTCCTCACCTCCAGGCATGTCTGACTATATGGTGGATCATTTTGCGCTTCATGGGGGATATACCAGAACCCAAATCCTCAGATGCCATATCAGTGGCATCAAGCAACACGCCCCAGGCTCCACCCAGCAGGCAGGGCAGGAGGCTGAGCAACTTGGTGGGACTGGACCAGGTAAACTATTACATATATCTTATTATTACACTGAAAAAAAAAAACAATCTAACTATTTAACCTCTAGTAATGATGTCATTCTCGGACAGAAAATACTGAGGAAGAACAAGAAAAAGTTTGACAGAAGAGCCTCTTCTATCCCCGAGGAGGTGATTATAATACTCTTCATTCTGTCTTTTTTTTCTGTCACTGGTTCATAACACAAACTCTGTGGCAATTGTTATTATTATCACTGTTATTTGTATTATTGTCATCGTAACCAGCCAGAAAACTTGACAGGAGAAGAGGATGTTATGATTGGAGAGGGTACCACGCTGCAAAGGCCACTTTCAGACTTGGAAAAAATTCACATCATCATCGGCTATGCTCTGTCAAAACACGGCATATGGTAAATGCTGCCTTACAAGTATTTTGAAGAATGAACAATATGATATATCTGTAAATAACTGTAGGTAAATGTGTGTAAGTAATTTTAAGTAGTGTGAAATTGTATGCTAATTTTGCAGAAAAACAATAATTTTCTCATCTTACTAGACGGGCTATAGTTTTTGGGCTGTGGGCCGTATTTACTTGGATGTGTGATGAAAGGTTTCTCCCACTGAAAACGAGTCAACTTTCTGGGATTTACACAGGCTGCCTAAAATTACTTAGACATCAATTAAAATTACATATGCAGTACTTAAATGTAAGTATTTGTAGATAAATATGATTACATTGTCATTTCGATTATAATAACTACAATTCCATTTAATTACAGGGAACTGTGGTTATGGGCTGTATTTTAAGATGTTACCTACTTTTTTCATTTTTTTGGTTCTCTCTCTGTGCAGGGATGAGATCTATTGTCAGATCTGTAAACAGCTGTTGAAAAACAATGACAGGAGGAATCGTATGCAAGGGTGGATTCTCCTCTCCATCTGTCTGGGGATTTTCCCTCCAACAGACCTCTTTAGGAAGGTCAGTCTACATGAAGTCATTTTATTAATCCTGCCTCAAACTTCATGTTAATCCTTGTCATGCCACTTTAGTTGAATTTAGCCGAGGTATTATCGTGTTGCTTACTGTGTCCTGTTCTGTGCTTCACAGTATTTAGAGAACTTTCTCCGCAGAGGGCCATATGACTACAGGGGGTATTGCATTGAGCGCCTGAAACGTATCGTAGCCAATGGACCAAGAAAAGAGTTGCCCTGCTGGATAGAGCTACAGGTAAAAAGCAGAAGGTGCTCCAATATGGTGCTGAGGTCACTGTTTATTTAGTTTTAACTTTTGGCCAGCAGCAGCAAAATTTGAATTGTGGTTGGAAACAACTGGTTTTTTTCTTCTTTCTTACCCTGCACTGAAAGGCTGCCAGGACCAGGAAACCCATTGATACGACTGTGGAAATACAGGATGGTCGAAATATTGAAATACAACTGAACTCGTCCTCCACATCTGAGGAAGTCTGCCAAGATGTGGCCAATGACATCGGTCTCAAAGACACCTACGGATTCTCCCTGTACATTAGGCTCTATGACAAGGTCAGTGAAAGCTTCTGATTCTACATCAAGGCTTGGGTACTCTGTATCTTCTGACTGTAGGTTCAGACTAGTCCAGTGCAGAAAGATTTGCAGTTTGCCACACTCATTCAAACTCTGCTGACTTCTCGTCACCAGATGTGGTCTCTGGGGAACTCTGGGGCACACGTGCTAGATGCAATATCTCAGTGTGAGGAAGAGATGAGGAGGCAAGGCAGACTGGAGAAGGATACCCCATGGTCGCTGTCCCTCCGCAAGGAACTGTTCACACCCTGGCACGAAAGTAAACTAGATGAAGTCAGCACAGATCTTATCTACAGGCAGATCATCAAAGGAATCAAGGCAGGAGAGTACGTTGCTGATAAGGTAAGGCTTTTTCTTTTTTCCTAAAATATTACGGAAAACAGTGTGTAATAATAATAATAATAATACATTTTATTTACAGTCACCGCTCATGACACTCAGGCTATTAAGTTCCAAAATCGCAGTATGCACATCTACTTTTCTGGTGTATTTTCATCTTATGTACAAAATAAAGCACAAAAGGGGCACTAATTGTTGCTGGGCCAACGCTTAAAAGACCTTAAATATAAAAAAGCCTCCAAGGCACTCCCCTTTCAAAATAAAATAAAAATGCCTTCATTTTCATGGCAAGGTTTTGTAAAGGACTGCAGTCTCTTCCAGTGATAAGCTAGCTGCCTTATCACGTAAAACAGTTAAAGCCAGTAAAACTGCTGCAGTCTGAGAAGTAACTCATGAATAATTATTTTAATATCCTTCTTTAATCAGGGTTTATATTGTAACAATAGAACAACTGACAAACCCACAGAAACCTCTCATTCAATCTTGCAGCTCCTGTAAGCCTTATAAGACATCTTAGCTTGGCTTTAGCTTAGCTAACGTTTAAGCAAATGGCAGACAGAAGAAGAAAGTGAACAACTAGCTTGGATACATGGTGGGATGTATGTAACGGCCAAAGAGTTGGAAAAATATAACGACTAGGAAAGTGAAAGCCGATGTTAATTTAAATGGAATAGCTGACTGCTTACATTGCTTTGTGGCTGTCAGACGCATAGACGGGCAACCATTTCCTACTAGCTTAGCCTGAAATTTGTAGATGTTTGTTCACGGCTAGTTTCTATTGCCTGTGTCTCACTAAAGAACAAGGAAGGATTTGGAAAACAAGAAAATCTATCAGTAAAGTTTTATTTATTTATTTATTTCATCCATTGTGTTTTTAGAGTAAATGCAATAATTGTGATTCTTAAATGAACAAATTAAGAGTAAGAAACTAGATAACTGTAAATGTAAAATTTACTATACTGTGGTGCTAAACAGTATATCAGCAGGCATTTTGTAGTTTTCAAATATTTTGCAGCTCAAATAAGTTACTTAGTGAGGTCAACTATTTCTTATTTGTCCACTTTTTATTCTACTATAAATTTTATCATGATGTTCTCCAAACATTTTGTCAACTGTATCTAATAAAGTTGTACTTTATCTACTCAGGATGATGATTATATCCAGCTGGCAATAATGCACTATTACATCATGTTTGGCTCCGAGTATAGCGTTGAGAACGTCACCAAAGTGGTTAATGAGTGCATCACCACCCAGCTTATTGAAAGCAAGTCTAAAACAAGATGGACCCAGTTCATCAGCTCAGCACACAAAGAGGTAAATCAGTCTATTTTATGTATGGTCAGCATGGATTGTTTTAAAACATAACGCCTCATAAAGGCACCCTCACAATCGTCGTTACCTCATGTAGGGTCCTTATGTCAGTGGGAGGCAAAACTCGGATGAGGTAAAAGGAGAACTGGTGGACATCGCACGCAAGAAGTGGGCAATCCACTTTTCAAAGTTTTTTGAAGTCACAATGATGTCAGGTGAGTCTGCGCACAGCTTTTTTCACACAGAGGCTGGGATATACAATCCTTTTACAAGTGAATGTTGCCGTGTTACACATTTGTATTGCAAACTTTACTTCTGCTAACTAGCATTTATGAATTCCAATTCACTACTTAAAATCTGCAACACCATATCTGTCCACAGGACCACCTTTGCCCAAAAGCAGATTTATTGTGGCTATAAACTGGACTGGCATCTTCTTCATGGACGAGAGAAATAGGCAACTTCATGAAATTCCTTACATAGCAGTTAGGAAAGTCCAGGAGAAGAGGTACGGTCTCACATTTTTATGTCTGTGTGTATGTAAATTTGCTCTATTTACTTTCTTAAAAAGATTTTTAAATTGTGCCTTTAAAAGAATCTAATAAAACTGACACTGATGATTATGACCCATTTAGTGACAGTGCCCAGACCATTAGCTTGATCACGATCACAGGAGAGTATGTCCTGAAGTCTCCTGAAGCTGAGAAAATTGTAACACTGATAGAGAACAATGTGGAAGGGCTGAGACAGCGCTCAGTGTTTGCAACCGCTCAGCAGGACTCTAGCAAATCAGGTAAGAGTCTACAGCATGTTCAGTATCCATAAATACAGTCACGCACACCAAAACACTCACGTCTGTCTGTCTCTGTACGCTTCTGCAGATGACCCGCTGTTTCTGGTTTGTAAGCGAGGTGACCTCCTGCAAGTAGACAAAGAAAAAAGTGCCCCTAATGAGAGCTGTTTCATCGCCACCAACAAGCGCACTGGCAGCTCTGGTGCAGTCTATAAGAAAATATTGCTGTTCCTGCCAACTCTTACCGAGCCGACTAGTGAAATGCTGGTAAAGTTGACTTTACCTTACATGTTGAGTAGTTATGACTAGTTTATCAGAGCTCAGGTATAGGCAAATCACTGATTTCATTTTTAATGGTGTTTTAATGGTAAAGACTTTACTAAAGAACAGAAAATCTTTACAGACATGAAGATTTTTCATCGTGCGCTTCTAAGTCTATGCAGTGAGAGATGCACAAGTTCTGTTAGTTCACATCACATAACGCCCTCTTGTAGTTTATCTGGCAAATTGCTTCTGACCCTTCAGGAACAACTCAATCCAAAGCAGGATAAGAGGAGAGCTTCACTAGTTCTTAACCCCGTTCAAGGAGAAGAAACAGTGGCCCCTGTCTCTTTGAAAGAGTTTGCCCTTGAGAATTTCAGGTAATACTGAGGCTCTTGTATTTTTAGCTAAACGCCACTTCTCAAAAATGTGGCATTCATGTTTGACTCTTCATTTGGCAAATCGAACAGCACTCGTGCAGACGATATTTAAGCTCTTTGTCCCTCGCAGATCTGTGAGTGGCGGTCGGCAAGGATACAAAGGAGGCAACAGAGAGAAACTGTGGGTCATTTCCAGAGAGCCTCTCAAGCAACCACTCCTGAAGGTGCTGGTCAACAACTCTGAGCTCAGCAACCTGGCCTGCAGTGCCTTCACTGATATCCTTTTAAAAAACACATGAACTGGTACCTGCATTTATGGATTGCTGAGATGTTTTCTTATGACTAAACCACAGTTTAACTAGCATCCATACTGTTGGTTCACATAGGCAGATATTTGAAAGTATGGTACCAAATTCTTCAGCAGTTTGTCTGTAATCTAAAGAGGAAAGAGCCATGTCTAATTTTAATGTCGTTTGAGTGAGTCCTTAACGTTAGCCTCTACCCATCCTGAAGTACATGGGCGACTACCCCATCAAACATGTCCGCAGTCCCGTAGAGTTGACCGACCAGATCTTTGGTCCAGCCACAAAGCATGAAGAACTGCGCGATGAAATTTACTGCCAGATCATGAGACAGATGACCGCCAACAGCAACAGGTTCTCCAGTGTGCTTCACTGTGTCGGAAAGACACCAAAACAATAATCACAAAAAATCCATTTCCATCATATCGTTTTCTCTTTCTTCCCCTCACTTCAGTTTGAGTATGGAGCGTGGGTGGCAGCTGATGTGGCTGTGTTCAGGCTTGTTCCCGCCCAGCTGGGATTTATTGAAACACACACAGTGCTTCCTGGAGTCGCGGCCCAGATACCCACTGGCTGCTCTTTGCCTGGAGAGGCTGCAGGAGATCTGCAGGTCAGCCTGGCGATACGAACACTATTTAGAAACAAAAATCCTGAGAAGATTAGAATTACTGATTATTTTGATACTTCAAAATGTGGTTGTCCGTATTTTAGAAATAGCATTGCTTTAAAACTGGTATTAAATTGTGATGAAAATCTAACTGACAGAATCTACTCTCTGGTAAATGCTGGCCCCCAAAATTACCACAATGCACACTTTAGAAACCACAAAAAAGTTTATCAGCTGAGTTTACTGAGTTTAATTTTTTTTTTTTAAAAAAAACATATCCACGGTATTGTAACTTAGTGATCTGAAATTCCACATAAATATATTTTTGTGTGTGTAACTTCATTTGTTTTGTATACTCAGTAAGAAGCCCAGGAATCTTCCTCCCCATTTCGTAGAAGTGGACGCTATCCAACAGAACAGCCCTAAGATCTTCCAGAAAGTCCACTTCCCAGATGATACAACTGATGTAAGAACCTGCATTCAATCAATTTTTGGATTTAATGATAATTTTAAAAAATGCAATCATTTGCACAACTCATAAATCCCTATTTTATTCACAATAGAACATGAAATCATGTTGAATGTTTAAACTTGAATGTTTACCCCTTTGACGCATAGTGGTCACTACAGTGGACAACTATCCAAATGCTGTTTTCTTGAGTTTGTGTCAGTGTTGATGATATACTTGCACATAAACCACTACATTGGACACTGATGTGTCCATACCCTGCCACCTACTGGTCGTTTAATATTACTATAGATGTATGATGTGTTTCATTGTAATTATTGTTATTTAACCCTTTCATGCATGAATTATGACAACCTTGATCATGATTTTTTCTTAAGCATTGTTATTCATCTTTTCAAGCCTAAAGATGAATAAAAAATCCTGATCGAGGTTGTCATAATTCTGCATGAAAGGGTTAAATTTTGCTATTTGATGAAATATATTCAGTCATTTTGATTTGGATCGAAGCAACATAGCTCAAAAAATTGGCAAAGGCTAGAAAACCTAAAAAGAAACCTTTGCAGGAATATTATTGCACTGTCTAGGTTATGTGGCAATAGATCAATAACATGACTGGGTATAAAAAGAACATCTTAGAGGGGCGGAGCTTCTCAGAAGTAAAGCTGAGAGGTTCACCATCTGCAAAACATTGCATTTGCAAATTGTGGGAAATTTTCAGCATATTATTCCTGAATGTAAAACTGGGAAGACCAAATATCCCATGTTCCAGATATGCTGCCTTCTTTTTCTTTGGGATAAAGCTCTCTTAAAATGGACTAAGGCAAAAAAAAAAAAAGCCTGGATCTCTGATGCCACAGGGAATTGGCAGCTTGCATATCTGAAAAGAAACGACCAATGCAGGTTTTAGAGCAACATATGCTCCCATCCAGATGACGTGTCGTCCAAGGAAGTCTGTGCATATTTTGGCAAGACAATGTAAAATTGCATACTGAAGCTTTTACAACAGGATTGCTTAGTAGTAGAGGAGTCCAGGGGCTGAACTACCTGATGTCCAGACCTTTTACAAATTAAAAACATTTGGCTCATCAATGCTGTGACACATTTAACATAGTGTCACAGGTTTCTTGGCATTGGAGTTGTATTAACCATAAGAGAGAGATTAAGAATCAGTTTTGCCATTAAATGTCGATTTAATGTTATCATGATTTCTTGTCCTTGCTGTGGCGCAGATAGTCGAGGTGACATCAACAACCACAATTGGAGACATGTGCATCAGCATCGCCTCTCAGCTCATTCTGTACTCACCTGAAGGATACGGCCTGTACCTGAAAACACTAACCAAGGTGGTGTTGCCTAACACTGTCAGTTCAGTGTTTTCGATCAGACATTAGCTTGCACAGTGATCTGATAGAAAAGACAAAAATGCTATGCACAATATCACAATACAGTCCATATGTAACAAATACATCTTTTTCCTTTATGTGACGAAGCTTTTTTGGTTTCAATTCTTAGACGGTGAGCATGGAGGAGGATAAATATTTCTTTGACAGTCTAAAGATAACCTCAGACGTCCCCAAAAAAAGAAAAAAGGGGAAAGAAGGTAATGGAGTAAACCAACTGCGGTCACTTTTTTTTTATGCATGTCTTTGCCTTGACAGATCTAATCAGTGTAAATCTCACTTTTTTTAGTCACTCAGACCAATTTACCTTCCTTGGTGCTCTTTAAGAGGAAGCTCTGGTTCAATGTGAACCCGGGGAAAGATGTGAAAGCAGATCTCACTTTCCATTTCCCACAGGTATCTATATTACAACCACTCTCTTTATTCACTGAGATTCTTTTCATGTTTAAGATGAATAATTGTCACGATATCTTACCTCGAATTTGCTTCTTTGCAGGAACGATCGAAGTACCTGCGGGGATACCACGACTGCACCAAAGAAGACATGATTACCCTGGGTGGGCTCCTATTCAGAGTCAAAGTAGAATCAGACATGTCACAGTTCGTCATGATCCCCAAAATGTTGAAGGACCTGGTTCCTGCTGACCAGCAAAAGATCATGTCCCCTGATGAATGGAAGAAGGTAAAGAACAAATTGTACAGAAGCACCCCCCAAATGGTCTATTTCATGTCTCAGAAGATGGGATTGGAGCTCCGGTGTAAGGCTATTTTATGCTTTATTGTTTTTCTTGCAGCACATCATCTCCTCATACAAGCAGCAGAGTGGCATCACAGTGGACGAAGCCAAAATCGACTTCCTAAAAATCATTTCAAGTTGGCCAACCTTTGGCTGTGCCTTCTTTGAAGTTAAAGTGAGTTAGCTGGAGTAAGTGACAGACACACTGGCCCGCAAGAATTTGAGGAAACTGATGTTACGTTGTTTCATTTGCAGCAAACATGTGAATCTAGCTACCCAGCTATACTTCTGATCGGCATCAATAAGCAAGGGGTTCGCTTAGTAGACCCAGAAACAAAGGTATGTTCAATAAAAAGCACAATATATTTATATTTTTACAGTAGCCTAAGGTCATTTGTGCTTATTTGCAAATAACATTGCATTACTTGAAACTCTTTTAGGACACAATGATAATGCACGAGTTCAGCCGCATCACAGAATATTTCAGCAAAGGCAACTCCTTCCAGATGACCATCGGCACCATGTTCAGGGGCATCACCTTTGTCTGTGAAACCCCAAATGTGAGTGACGGGCTTTGAATGTATTTTGATGCATGACAAAACACATAATTTCCTTTAGAATGAATGCCAATAAATGTTAAGGAGAATAAAATATGATGTGAAAGATTTGCACAAAAAGAATCATTCTTTTCTTTTTCAGGCCCACACGATCGAAGACCTCCTCAGATCCTACGTCAGCATGTATGAAAAGGCAAGGCAGGCCCCCCTTAATCACAGGAAGAGCATATTTTCTTAAGGTTTCACTGGCAGAAGTATAGACTTAACCTTTGTGGATTATATGTACTCCTGCCCAATGTCTCTATAGGAATGTATTTGTATCCTTAAAAATACAAACTCATCAATTTGTACATTTAGATTTTAGCATTTACAATTCTTTCTAATGAACAAGCATTCAAACTGTAATATTTCCATTGTTACCGCCTTAAATGCAGTAAAATTCAGTTTTGTGAAGAAACGGTTGCATGTCCACGACTTCATCTGACATTCATGTAACTGTCATGGCATTAAACTATGACGTCCAACTGTGTCCTATTCCTACAATGATTAACATTTAACAGTAAATTTTGCAATTCACAAAACACTGATTACATTTCCCTGCTGCTTCTTATGTCTTGCATTTTAAAACACAGCTTTTTTTAGCGCACATTCCCATCAGTTTCAAAATAAAACATTTTTAAAAACCCACTTTTCACCAAGAAATATGTGCACTTGCATTAAAACGCAGCTCCCTTTTCACAAACAGGAACCCTTGTGCATGGAAGTATTTTCCATTTTCATTAATACGTTTAGGATATGTGAAATTCATGTTAACAAACTGTTAATCTTCACATGCTTTGTAGTGTTTTATGCAACAAACCAGAACATTATAATAAGCCTGTGGCCTAAAATAGACCAGATTGTTGTTAAGGGAGGGAAAAAACTAACTGATAAACTATTCTTTACTGATCGAGACATTCAGTCCTTGCTAGGTCTTAAAGTTAGGTCAGTATGGTTAGGTAATAATGACATATTATACTGTGTCATTATTATTACTATTATTATTTAACAAAAAGCTAAATGCAGAAGCAGTGCATGAAAAACTATGACAGCCTGTGATTCAGTAACTTGTATAACAACACTACCAATAACTTAATAACCCAAAGTAATCGTATTCCATATTATTTTATCAGTTTTTCACATCACTGTAGAGGAACTTTGCTTCACTCTTTTTTTAAAGCATTACTTCAGCTCAGTAAAGTTTCAAGCAGTCATTTATGCACACCTCAGAGTCCCGCCACAACATTTCAATCAGGCTGAGGTCTGCACTTCGACTGGGCCATTGCTACACCTTAATTCTTTTCTTTCTTCGGTGGTTCTGTGGTAGATTTGCTGCTATACTTGGGATCATTGTCCTGCTGCGTGACCCAGTTTTGGCTAAGCTTTAGATGTCGGACATAAGGCCACACATCTGACTCTAGAATACTTTGGTATACAGATGAGCTCATGATGTAAAGCCCAAATCATCACCCCTCCTCCACCGTGCATCACAGTTGGTATTAGAGATGGACCGATCCGATATTACGTATCGGTATCGGTCCGATACTGACCTAAATTACTGGATCGGATATCGGAGAAAAATAAAAAAATGTAATCCGATCCATTAAATATCACGAAAGCACCTCACAAAACTTGCAACACGCCGTAACTCACCTCAGAACATTAGCACGTCAGAGCAGTATGCATCACGTGATAGAGCGGCTGTGGCATGCGGGACCTGTCGGTGGTCTGGATAGCATTTGGAGCTTCGCTAGCAACCTGGCATTTCATCTCCGACAAAGTTTTCCCGAGAGAAGTAAAGCAAGTGTGTAAGTCCATCTCTAAATGTTTGTAAAGCATTCCTGCGTTAAGCTTAACAAGCGACTGCCTCTCCTGCTGCTACTTCAATCATGAAACTGCTTAACGATCAGCTGATCGGCTTTTCTGTCGTGAGTCCGTGTCTCTAGTTTGCTTTTGGCCCACTTTGCACCAGAAAGAGGAAACCAGCGGCTGAACAACAGCAGCACGTTTAAGCTTGATCAGCTGTTGTTAGAATTTATTTATTATTACTTTCTACTCCAGGATCTTTTTCTACGTAGCTGACGCTGGTAACTGTGCAGGGGCAGATCTAGCAAAGTTTAGCCAGGGGGGCCGATAGGGCATTAACAAGGAAAAGGGGGCACAAAGACATACTTTTCTTTCTTATTCTCATTTAAAATGTCGAGCTTTTAATAAATAATTATCTGACACCCAAAGTTTTAATTTGATGTAAAATGAATAGAAGTCAATTACTGTATATAGTAACTATTAAGTCTAATATATATACCCTAGTAAGCTATAGTACTTTTTCCTTTGGGAAGGTACCATCTGTGCAGTCTGCAATTCTGTTGAAGAAAGATGTTGAATCTATTTAATATTTCTTGAAAAATAATTGATTTCTGTGCATTTTTTTCCACACTGCATCAAATTAAGGTTGATTACGTCGATTAAGCATCATGAGGTGGAGCGTGAGGGGTGGTTCCCTATTTTTTATTTATTTATTTTTGTTGTTGCTGGGAGTTGGAACCCTATTAGTTAGGTTGCTTAATATTTATGCTAAGTACTCTTTAAAATACCAGAATAGGGAGGATGGTGTAGGTTTAAGTTTATTAGATTGATCAGTATTGCTGAACTATGAAATATTTTTTTTTGCATACAGGTATAACAGAATAGCTTTAGTGTAGTTGTTGTTTTAAACTTGAGTATGAACTTATACAAAATGCAGCAAGATATTTTAAAAAAAACAGTTTTGTTGATTAAAGAACACTATATCGGATTCATATCGGTATCGGCAGATATCCAAATTTATGATATCGGAATCGGTATCGGACATAAAAAAGTGGTATCGTGCCATCTCTAGTTGGTATGAGGTGTTTTCTACAGAGGTGCCAGCACTTTCTGAGGAATCAAGTACATTTTATTAGCAGCACTTAGCTGCTACTTACCCTCTTAATTCCTATAAAAGCAGTAAGGGTGTGCTTAGTGTTTCCACACACTGCATTTTGGCTTATTTAATGTTAAATAAATAATAACTCATTATAATAATGTTGTGTGATGTTGTTCATTTGAGATTGTATTATAGAGTAAACTTTATTCATATGATTCTACTATTACTTTTTTACTATTTCTAATGTCTCTTGAATCTGTAGTTAAACTAATCATTTTAGTCCATGAGGTATGGTCATCTTCATACGATGCGAGATTTGAAAGTTTTTCCCTTTTCAGAAGGATTCTTGATTGTCTTGTAAATATTCTGATGAGCATATTTGTTACTACTTTTAGCCTTATTGAGTAGTCGCCTACAGTATGCTACATAACTGCAGATGCATATATTTACTAATACTATATTTCAATATTTTCAATACATAGGTACATTAATTTTTATTCCAAGTCTACCTGCTTTTTTATTACTGGATTGATTCATATATCATAAAATGATATAAGGAAAGAAGGATGTTGGCATGGACTGCATCCTAAATTGTCTTACTTTTATCTGGACTTTGAACGTGTATCAAGGTATTTTAAATGTTTCTTTATTTTCTTATAATTGATCGAGTTTTTCTATGCTTGAAAATAATTGAAATACTTTAAACAGAAAATTGTTTGTTTTATATTTTTTTATTTTTAACAGTTGGACTGTTGGATGCCAGAGCTGTTATAAAAAGTCATACCTTTGCAACTGTGCGGCTACTTCTTTTCCGCTTCACTTCCTCTGCTTTGTCAAACTTTTCTTATTTTCTGAAAGGCCATTATTGTTGCAGGCCTTAGCTGTGTGCAGTATAGGCAAGCCGGAGGCAGTTTGTAAAATGTCAGCCAACACTCCCGGTTTTCCATCAGGCATTTGATGCTCCTGGAATGTCGTGGCTGCTTCTTGAATATCAGCTTGCCGTCAGCCCTTTCCTCATAACACAACTCCAGTTTCATACCTGGAATTACATCATAACGGCTGAGTGACTCTGTGTGTGTGTGTACATACATAGTGTAGCGTAATGTAGTACACTGCTTATACAACCTCCTGATTGCCTGTCAAGACGATTGCTCTGTTACCATGGAAACCATGTGACAAAAAAAAAAATCAGGTTACCATGGGCAGGTGCATATGAGGTGCAGTATGATCATTTGTGGCTCCGTCTGTTGCCTGATGCAATATGACTGCAAGGGGAAGCTGGGTTTGACAGACACAAAATCCGTTTTGCGGTGTGTTTACTATCACTTTGAATGTTTATCTGAACCCGTAAGATTAAAAACACTAAAAATATTAGGGATTAGGAAGCTTCCCCGCACAGTCGTTGACTCCCAGCTGCACATGTCGAGGTTACATAAATGTATTAGACAGGAATCCGAGGGAGATGTAGGCCAGACAGTTAAATGTTAGAGAGTTTTGTGTGTGTGTGCTGCCTTACAACACAGCAAAGGCATTTTGATGCACTGCACCAATTTTGGAACAAAAGACCTTATAGCCCAGACCACATCACTATCCTCCCACCACCTGCACCCCCCCATACCTTCCTTCCCTCCTCCTCCCCGCAACTTTTAGTTCAAGACTGAAACAACAGTATATCAAGACCACAGCCCTGCCTACTGTAACACATTTACTCAGTCATCACACAGACCCACACGCTCACTCCCTGCTGCCTAATTAAACTGGCACACTGTACGTACTACTTACAGTAGTGCGCATATCTACGAACATAAAGTCAGTTTGTATGACTATGTGTGTACATAAAGCCTACTGCGCGTTTATCTTTCCCTTCCTTCTATCTAAGCAGACACGAACTTTCGGCCATTTTTTTTTGGGTGCTTGTTGTTTTCACCAAAACAAGGAGCTGTTCTCAGGTCGACGCTGAGCAGCGCCTTCCGGTGAACCTCGGGCTACTTTGGAGGAGGGTAAAATGATCCCAGATCAGTGTCTGTTTCGGTGTCACGCCATCCCCCCACCGCGCAGCTAGGCGCGCGCGAGCCTCGCGATAGCCTCGCCTACCAGAATCAAAGCTCCGCTCGCGAACTGGATGCTGACAGGCGCGCGTGCGGTCATCATGCAAAGGTTACGTTGGATCGGTTTCAACGAGTCTCGAAAGAAGCCGCTCCTCCGCAGGACCCGCACGGAGCACAAAATGCGAGACGTCTAGCGACTCCGACAGCCACGGAGTTACTCACGTTTACCGGCCCGTTTGGCGACGGCAGGTGTCAAGAACCATGAACGCGAGTTCGGGATTTCCGCGAACGGCAGTGTGTACGCTGGCTCCTCACGGCGGTAAAGTGGCTTCATGAGTGTCCAAAGTAACAGTGGAAGTGGTGGTGGAAGTTTGGAGGCGACGCCATCTTGGTCGCAGCTCTCCTCGTCCCCAACGATTTCTCAACCACAAATAACGGCGACCGCAAAGAGCAAGGAAGGTACACCAGCTCACCCAAGTGCACGACCCGCTCGCATTCTCCCCAAAGTGCGTTCTTTCCCCCCCGAGAAGTGGATTATTTTGGCCGTGTCGAGCTAGCGTTTGTTCAAGTAAAAAAAATGGATGTCAAGTTCAGTGATGCCGTGAATTGGAAGCCAAATGTCAGCTGTCAGTTCAGTTGATGGCCAGTCTAAGTAGCAACGGGCTATCGTGTTTGCACAAAGGCAGTGCTAGCTTGTTGTTTCGTTTTGTTTCGCTGTCATGTTTCGTGATCTCTTGTCACTCGATCGCCGTCGATCCGAAAACAGTGTTTTTGTAGCAGTTTGTAACATCCTGTCAACAGCTTCTAGTGGAATATTAAACAACGCAGCTATGCATGCATCCATTAATGCGCTGTAATGCATGACCCCGCTACTTTGAACTGCCAAACAGGCCGTGGGTTGCACTTTTTTAAACCAGTTCGGGCGCATTTGTTGTTCCACGTCTTTTGCTATGTTGTTGACGTGATGTTATTTACTTGTGACTCG